ATTATTATTATTATTATTATTATTATTATTATTATTATTATTATTATGATTATTATTATTATTATTATTATTATAATCATTATTATTATTATTATTATTATTATTATTAATTTATTTATTTTTTATTTATATATATATATTTTTTTCATATATATTTTTCATCTTTGACGCTATAGTTCAGGCAGCTTAAACATTCAACTTTTGTTTTGGTTTTGACACATGTGGGCTTTTTCTACCTTGAATGTGTTTGATTCTTTTATTGCAGGTAAAAGGCTGAAAAAAGCTTAATTAAAGATCATCCTTTTCTTTGTTACTGTTGTATATCACGTTTCTAATGTAAACTATAAGACAGAGTTCTATGGATAGACAAAGGGGATTTGTACCCACCACAACTTTCAATAATCAGTGTCAGTTAAAGTGCTTTGCTTCTAAAAATAATACATTTTAATAAAAGTATTATGGAGGCAACATAATTTCCTCAACTTATCATGGACAGCTATTTCATGTATATTTTCTATCCTTACCAAAGTTACCTGGGGAACAGTGTACTTGAGAAAGTTATGCTGAGAAAATATGCTCGCCCAGGGAACTGAGACAGAGTAAATGTATGGAATTCACAGGAAGATTGTTTATGACAAATGGAAGAAATCACCCAAAATTTGAGATAATTGGTTACTTTCTGTTCAAGATAGGATATGATAAAGAGATAATTTTTAGGTATGTTTCATACAGAGGATTTTGATAGGTGATTTCAGACTGCTGAGAGGAGTAAAAAAAAGTACAAAAAAAACTGTTGGTCAACATAGCAAGGAGACTGTTAAGGAGAGGATTGGAAACTGAGACATCCCCATGAGATAGTAATCAGAACACACAGAAGGAAAGGAACTAAGAAACTGAAAAATAACTGAAACCAAAAATCTGCATTTCAAAATAAAACAACTATGAAAAATTTCTCCAAACTGAATGTGAAATATTCAGTTTGGAAATATAAGGCATTGGTAAAAAATCTAGACACAACTTTGCAAAAGAATCATGCAGTCAAATGCGTTTGAGAGAGTTTTTTTCCTCTGCAGGCCCTTCTAAATTAGCCATGTTTGTTCAGTTTTCTTGTAATTGTTCTGGCCTGGGGTTTAACATTAAAAAATGATCATTGTCCCACTGTCCCAGAAAGCATTGCAGGTTTTAAAGCTTGGGTGAACCTGTGGGATGTCTTACTTCAGTCAATATTGTTCTAATTTGGAAAATGGACAATCAGTAACAATAACCTTGTGCAGCTGAAACTTCTTGGCTAGAAAGAAGAAACAATGATTTCTCAGTCAAAAAAGAAAATAAAGAAAATGTTTTATCCTCAGTTCAAATCACTAAAGAGTTCAATTAAGAGGGATTTATATAGAAGAACATATTTGTCCCCAACTCTTAAGTTGGTTGCGGGCATCAGACTTTTCATTTTTAACAATATTACTGAAATACAACAGACCTGGTCAGTTAGGAGATCTAAAATGTTTTCCACTTGTGTCTGTAGAAGTTCAAACCTGTTACCTAGTAAAAGTTAGGCTTTGACAGGATTATATTTTGACTGTCAACATAAATGACTATTTAAGGAAGAATTTGTTTGATTTTATGAAGAGCAAAGTTGAAAAGTGGCCCCTTGGTAAATAAAAAAATTAAAAAACCTAAATGCAACTGACATAAAGAGACAGAAGTAACACTGTATTTTGCAGATTAGTGGGCCTGGCATCCAGTCTGAAAATTAAGTTCGTAGGGAATTACTTTTTGACCCGAATTTTGTGTTAGATAAAACACATGATTCTCATTAAGTGTAGTAAGTCAAATTTGTGTGTGTCACTTTAGCCTATCCATTACCGGTCCATTGTAGGGACTCTTGCTGTGATGCATAACCACCATTTCCCTCCTTGGTTAACAGTCTGAAGGTAAGGATGATTACACAAAGATGTCTTCTACCTGTCGTCTCTGACTTGAGCAGCATAGCAGAAGTTCTCTTTTCAATCATCAGCCGAGGCTTTTTTCTTTCTAGGCTGTGCGCTTCACAGGTTAAACACAATATTGACCCCCCCAGGGATTTTTCCCCCCTTTGACTCAGACATAAAGCAAGTTATGAAGCAATAGTCAGGAATTGCATTTAGGTTTATTGTTGTATTAATCATTCGATGCAATCTCTGCAGGGAGTTACAGATTAAAGGTAATATCGACTGAGGGTGCCAGCTACATTTTTTTTTTACATGCAGGATGCCGTCTGTTACACTGCAAGATCTCCACTGCAGACGCCCAGCTTGTAGCACTTTACGTTTGACCTGAACACACCAATACAGGGAGATTCCCTTTGCAGAGATGCTGAATTACAGCAGTGCCAATGTCGGCGCTGCCTTCTTCAATTCAACCAACACACACCTGATCTATGTATAAACAATGGAAACAAAGTATGTACATTAACAGTGGACAGCTGTTTGAGATACAAGTGATCATAAAAAGGCAACTGTTAAGGCAGAAACAATTCAGAAGGAAAATGAAGCATGTGATCAAAATGAAAAATAGAAATAACAGACATCCAGGCCTTAAGACAGACCTTACTTCCTGCCAGAAAGGCTCTGGGTGATGGACAGAAATCATAAAGGCATTTTTATGGCATTCACTGTGTGTACTGAACACCGGGACTTGGAATTGTAATTTTTTTTGCTGCCTATACATTGAACTGAGTTTCATAATTGGTGTATGAGGCGTTTTGTTTGGACTGATCTTTACAAGATGCAAACATAAATCAAGAAGTAATGTCAAGAAACATAAAAGAGATAGCATCAACTATATATTCATCAATGTCAAGGTACATTTAAAAAATGCAACAATATGCACATATTATTAACCATTGAAAGTCAAACCTGAATCACGTGACACATGTTTTTTTTGTACCACTACACCACTGACTGTCAACTCTGGAGTCTCTGAAAAAGAAATCATTTTGCAATTGTGCTGATTTTCTAGATCTGTGTGGCATTAAAAAGGACGAATCAAATTTATGAAGAGACATCAATGGCTCAGCTGTATCTGTTTTTGCCAATTTGATGCAAAGGACTGGAACACCAGACCTTTGTCAATCTGACCCCACCCACACAGATGACTGAGTGCTGTGACTGTTTAACTCCCACCAAAACACCCAAGTATATTATCTTTATTCAATTGAATTAAAAACAATATTTTCCTCTACATTGTTCAATTTTCATTGTGGGTTTAAGCAATGTTGTGGCCTCCACAGTAGCAGTAAAGATCTATTGGTGACTCACATGTAAGAAAATCACAATTATCTGGCACTAATAAGCATTTAAACCAGTCGATTTTTATATCTGTGGTACAGTTCTCGTCAGAAAAAAAATCAGACGGAGAGCCTCATCAGCAAAATTGAAAACGGAAGGTGCTTTTCTTTTTTCCATGATCATTTCCTTTGTGCACACACACAAACATACATACACTCAAATCGAAACCCTAAACCATAGCCCATAGCAAAGTAGTATATTCTCAGCTTAGAATTCTGTGTTTATTTGAGGATGACTTCAGCTGATAACTCCATGTCTCCTCAGTATTGTGCTTTAAGTTAAATCTGAGTTGGGCTGGATCACACTGTTGTGCCAATGGAGTAGAGGAAGTCGGTCCACATTGACTTCCCACGTTTATTTCCGTTAAGTCATAGGTTCATAGCCAAACAGAGAAGGATATACTTTGATGTCCATGATATAAAAAAAAGAGGGCAGACGCTTAGTACGCTCTCATCTGGAAGAGTTCTGTACTGTGATAAGACACAGCCCAAAAGAAATAAGACAGACATAAAAAAAAAGATAAAAAAGAAAGCCCATCTGAGGTCCATTCAAGTAATCGAACTGCTCCCTCTGACTTAAATATGCGTCGGCATATGCTTCAGATCTCGTTGATTGTTCGCTCAGACGGCCTGTACTCCTCTCGGCCTTTAGGGGAGTAGAAGGACTGCGTCTTGCGTTTTAAGCGAGCTCTCTTGGTGGCCAGCGACAGGCTGTGCTTGCTGGAGGCGATTATGTCAGAGATGAACTTTTTGCAGTCGACGCACACCTCCATGGTGGCCCAGTCCTCCGTCAGCTCCGAGGGAAGCTCCAGCTCCTCGTGGGACTTCAAAGAGCCGTGCTTGGAAAGCCTGTTTGAAACAAGCACAAGTATTGATGACGGGCTTGAGCAGGATCAGGACAGGTTGTTAATATTACACAACAACTTGCAACGGCCTTCAGCTGTCTGTACCAGCTGTTTTCATCACAGTTGGTCTTGAATAATTTAAAGCATCAGTTCACCTGTGGTTCAGACTCTAAGGTCTTAACTAATTCAGCCAATGACTGTACTTTTTGTTTTACTTTTGGGGGTTATCCATGACTACCTACTCTGTGCAGTTCGGCTTGGATCGACTTAACCTTTGTTAAGTTTTGGTGTCCCAAACAAAACAAGTACAATTTTTGCCCCTTCTCACCCCGAGTTCCAAGCAGGATAAGTAGGGCCAACAGCAGACTGCAAGCCACTAATTGACCACCGATTGGTCACTGATTGGCCAGGGAATCACATGACTCAAGAAGACACTCCTTCACCTTATAGGAACTCATTTGAAATGGAAAAAAAAAACCTTAACCAATTCCTTTTGAAGCAGGTAGAGGAAGGAAGAGGGCTGAGCAGGTACCCAATTTGTCTGGTATTGGGGGGAAAAAATTTGAAAAACCTAAACTAGAAACAAATTGAGAGTCAAATAAGCTGACAGTATTTAAATGTGAAACACCTTTTAGCTTTTCTTTCTTAATACATCAAGACCTAAATGTCCAAGACAAATTATATAGCAGTGTTGGTCTGGTAGTTATAAGTTTCTCCAGTAGATGTCAGCAATATATTGTTGGAAAACTCGGACTTTAAGCACACTATTTGAGATAGTAATGTAGAACCAGAGACTCAGCTTTGTTCTGTTTAAATATGATACGAGTTTTGCAGATTGGGCCGAGGGACACATTGTGGATTATTTAAGTTGTGTAACATTTCAAGAGGAGATTGTACCTTTATTTCTAACTTAAAAGTACAGCATGCTCTTTAGAAGTGAGGACAAATGCGGGGCTTGACAAAGAAAGTCGTGCCACTCGTAGCTCTTACTTGGACATGGTTTTGTGAATGCCGTGGCGCTGTGGGCTCCCGGAGGACTTGTCAGCTTTAGCAGCTGCTGCTGCTCCTGTAGCTTTTCCAGCTCCTTTCAATGTTACTTTTGGAGATTCTTTCAAAGTGGGGGGCGCAGCGGCCCCCGCAGCTTCCATTAACGGCTCTGGCTCCGCGGCCACAGAGAGTCCTTGTCCTACAGCGGTCATGGCATTTACTCTGTCTCTGGGGAGGGTGTTGGTAGAGCCAATGGAATAGATGGGCAGGCTGGAGTAAGGTTTGGACGGCAGCCGCATCTGTGCGAGAAGGACGACGTGAATGTTAATAGGAAGCTCTTCCTAAAAAAAGAATGCAGTGATATATGGTATTTCTTTCTGTTCCTGTTCACACAATAAATTAAGATCCTTAGGGGCTGTAGTTACTGTAAGGACTTACAATAAAGATTATTGAAGGTGAAAAATGCAGCAAACCTCTCTTAAATCCTTAAAACAGATATGTGATCTTTACAGGATTGTGTTGTTTGTATTACCAGACAAACTGATCCAGTATAACGTACCTTTTTACAGCACTGTGAGCACACGGGTCTGCAAAAGGAAGATTGGAAGATTAAAAAAGAGTCACTCTAATATCGTACGTATATACAAAACTAGCAAATAAACGATGCACAATATAAGGATGACAGTAAGATGTGCTTTACTTTTTGCAGAACTGGCAGATGTAGGACCAGGTGAAAAAGGAAAACCTTTTGGTTCGACAACAGAAGCAAAGCTGCAATAAAAAAAACAGGAGTATGTTATTTGAAACTATTAGTGTAGGCAATATGTGATTGGTTAGCAACAAAAAGCTATTTCCTTTGTGTTATAATGTACCTTTTCTCATGGTGCCGACCAGAGGACAAAATCTATTCATTCACAGTGCTGGTGTATTGTTTTATATGATCAATCATAAAACATATTACCTTTCCCTTCTTCAAAGCGTTGTAGATTTCTTTGTATTGCTGGAATTTCTCCAGCTCAGCTTTCACCAGCACTTGTCTGATATGCATGACCTCCTCCACCGTCAGAGACAGACACTCCACTGGGAAACAGAACTCCTCCTGTAACAGAGCACACATACTCAATTCAATTTGGGATGTAACGTGTTCCCTAACCCTATAACCCTCACCATAACTCTTAATCTCGTCCCTACCCCAAAACCAAAATTTGTACCGGCTATGCACACGGATGCCAGTTTCCACGGCAAAAGCAGATATAACACACAGAACCCACTTTTTTGATATAGAACACAAAACCCTTTCTGCACTTTCCATACACCCTGAGTGAGTCCTGGCAACTTCTGGGTTGTAAAAATGCTCTCATTGTCGAGTAAAAGAAGTCAGCATGACAGTGATACAAATGGAGAGAACATTTGACTATAAGATCCCTGTGGGGAGGTTTGGCAAAGTACATACCACTCTTATAAACACTAATATTATAGCTACACGGTCATTCACTCATGTGGTCATTTGGCAGGCAGTGAACAACCAGCAAACAAAAAAAGGTACAAAATGAATGGGAGAAAGAGAAATTAAACACACAAGCAATGGTACACAAATGAACGTTACTGAATGATGGACTAAGCTTCCTTTGTAACTGGGTTTAAAAGTAGCAATATAGCCACATTCCTCCACAACAACAACTGCACTTTCCCAGTGATAAGCGAGAGTGGAAGAAGAGCTGCTTTCCTAAATACTCTCCAGGAAAACAGTATGATACAGGGAATGTTCTAGAGAATTAGAAAAAGGCCACTGTTGCAAAGGTTCCTGAAACAATACAAAAATTGGTTCCCAGACCATTTGAAATTCAAACATACACTTGAAGAGATTATATAATTCTTAACTTTTAGCTGGTAATGGTACTGTTAAATTCCTAATTTAGTAATTTTATTTTAAATGAATTCTTAACTTAATCTTAAAATGTATTCTTACACCTTACATATGATCAGAGTTACCAATAAAATTTGTATAGTGATTTTAACCCCAAGGACAACAATCAACCACAACACTGCGCAAATCTGACCTTCTCTAACTTGTGATATATTTAATTTCCCAGCAACACATCACATAAAACAAGGTAATCAAACAATTTATTGCCAAGACAATATCAATGATAAATATCTAATGAACTAACAGGTGATTTTTTTAAAAACAGAAGCTAATTCTAATGTATTTTAGCTACACAGCAGCTACACTACGGTATGACGAATGCTGCAAAAAGCAATGGGGTTAGTGATACTGGTTACTGAATGGTCACCAGCACATTAGCTATTAGCCTGCCACAGCAGAAGCCTGCTTCTACCGTGGGTGAATCATCTTAGATTAAGGGGGAATCATTTGACGACTGCAGGCATTGTTATTAGGCCAGGACTAACTGGGACAAGACTGGCAAACCTTGGCTGACTCTCTTGGTGGGAAGGAAATGCTCCCGCAGAGAGCAAAAACTGCCCTCACCAACCTCAACGCAAACGTCTCGATAGGGAAGGAGTTCTGCAAGAGGTGGAGAGTGGAGGGAGCGGGGCAGAGGAGGTGGAAGGGGGGGATCCAGTTTGGAAATGAGGCTATCATCTCAACCTGAATGGGAGAGGATGGAGGTGTGTGTGGGAAAGATTAGAACAGGTGTTTTGTACTGACTCAATGACTGAGCATACTTTAGAGAAAAGGCAATCGAAGGATAGAAGGTGGTAAAATCACAGGAAGGAGGCGTGCAAAGAAAGAGACATAAAACACAGCGTCTTTGTTTCGTTTTAGACTTTTTTTTCTTCTTTCCAACCCTGCTCTCCTAATCTACTCACACTGTCCAGATCACTCTCTCTGTTTGGAGATAATCAAGTTACTGAACCAAATCGGACCACACTACACTGGCTATACTCCCCTCTGAAGTACAGCCAGCTGAATTTGAAAAAAGCAGAGATGGATTTATTTACTTTGATGCACTAAGGGACCAATTTGAATTCTCAGCGCCCTCATACAGTTTACCGTCTTTTTTTTCCAATATTTGGACATAGTGAAAGTCATATCTATTTCACACAGCGGTTCATTGCCAATTTGACAACCATTGGGCTTACCAAAGACTTTGAGCTCTTTTTAGAGGGTGGCAGGAACAGCCGGACATTGGTGGGTGTTTCCTTCTCGATAGAGTGTCTCCTCTGGGGTGCCTGACGCCTCTCTGGCTGAGGTGTGGAGGAGATGGGGAGGAACATGGGCGGAGCTGGTGTTCATGGACAGGAGAGGAGAGTTAGTACAAAAAAGAGAAGCAGGCAGAATACTGATCGAATAAAAATGACGAGTCAGGAAAACGTGGCTGACAATGTTGTAAAATGCTTGTTAAACGTCACTGAACACCATCAATCTCAGTGTTATTAAAGAGGCGACTAAAATTTGACAGGGGACATGGAGATATTTCCCAACTCACTTTTCTTGCCTAGCACAGACTCTGGGGATGTATCATCCATCAAAGATGTTGCCACACTGGAGCTGCTCGCTGATTTGTGCCCCACAATCTCATCCTGAATGCGTAAATGATATATGAATCTATGTCAGCATTTCGTACATGCGTCACAGGTGCATTTCTAAAAAACTAAAACACTCACATCAGAGTCGGAGCTGTCCAGCTCGGCAAGGCTTGGAGCCTTCAGAAGTTTCTTTCTTTGAGGTACAGACTGAGAACCAGATGGTTCTACTCTGGGTGATGACGATCCATTGATCAGAGACAGAGTACTGGATGTCCTCCTGCCCATGTATGGACTGTACTCATCTGGAAAAAAAAACATACAGGAGATGGTCATTCTGATTTTTTTTAAAAAGCAGCAAAGAAGAATCCCAAAACTCCTCCTCTTGTGTTCCCTTGTATCCTGGATTTTTTTCTGTTTGTTAACTGTCTTAATGTTATCATTTACTATAAAATAACTCCATTTCATTGGGAGGTGAATGTGAAGGATGCAATGAGACATGTCAAAGAGGAGTGAGGTTTGAGATCCATTTAGGGGCGGGAGAGGGAAAGGTAGGGAGAATTAAGTTGTTCTGATGGGAGGCCAGAGAGCAGACCAGTGTTACACACAGAGCATGGAGTCCCTTTTTCAAGAGATAATCTAACTATTTTTAAAAAGCCTTTTTCTCCTGTGAGTCTCGATTTTTCTTAGGAGAAAGCTGAGTCGTTAAAAGAAAATGTTCAATCCGTGTCGATGAAAATCTTCTATACTGACTGATTCCTGCTGTAATTTATAGAAAGGCATGTTCAGCAAAAAGAGGATTGGAAAAGAAGGATGAGGGAGGGAGGAGAGGAGGATGAAACAAGCAAGTTCTGTAATAGGAAGACAAACAGCTGCACTGAAATAGAACAGTCTCTATAATAATAGAGACGGTATTACCAGATTTTTTTTAATGAACCTCTTTATACATTTTACATTCTATTTTTCCCCCTGTTAACATTCAAGTCATCTTTGGAAGATATTAGTTTTCAGCCAGGGAGGGAGATAGACATGGCTATTAGGTTAAAGGCAAAGAAGGCCTTCCAAACCAGAGCACTGCTGATACTTTACCTATTCCTGTTCGGAACAAATCCTGTGGCATACTGCGAGTTTTGCCAAAACCTAAAAGAGGACACCTCCTTCATTAGAATAACTACATGTAAATCACACAGTTTAATATGTCTGGGAGTAATATCCAACAAATTAACAGTTATCCCTTTGAATAATTTGATATTTCTTGGGGAAGTCATTCTCCTTAATTCTGCTTTGTTCATTTTCATATTTTCCATCAGGTTCCAGGTGCTATCTGACAAACAAAAGCAGCTACATGAACATATAAATACCTTGAATGTGTGAAAGTCAAATCTAACAGAGGTATGTGTCTCACCAAATAATTCTCTTTAGGGTTTAGTTATTACTGAACTGCATTCATGTCTTTAAAGGTGTACAATTCTAAATGTGTTCATGTAGTGTATGACACCTTAGCTTCAAAGTTGATTCTTGATTGAACAGAAAATTTGTTTTTTGTGTTTCCAAAAGTATACTCCTCGAATAACCGGCTGATATTTATGCAATACTGCTAATGTGGACAAGTTGGACTCTCCACACCATCTCTCTGCTTTGGAGAGAGAGTGTGGAGAGTAAGGCAGGATTCACAGATACAATTTTTGTTTATGGCTAAACCCCATTCAAAATAAAGCTGAAGCAAGCTTTCATAGCTCTTTTCAAATTTCACACTAGGAAAGCAAAGCTACAGGCACAGAATTCAATTCTGCAATGCAGCCCATCAACTTATAGATAAATGAGAAATAAGATAATTGATGCCTTTAATTAATATCCAGCCAATGAGTCTATATTAGGGTTGTAAACGAATTGAAAACAGAGCAAGAAAGTAGAAAAAATAAACAGTGCATTCAAGGTAACAAAGTTAGTTATGACCTGAAAATACTTCAAATATAGAACTGAAGTAGTTTAATAATTCATCCTTTTTATGCGCAATGTAATCCTAAAATGGTCCTCATTCTAAATCGGTCATTTCAATCGGTCAAAAGGGGACTAAAGTATAGTTACTTTCTTTTATTTTGCACAACGTATTCTCAATATCCAAACAAGAGATCCCACTATCTCCATTTACTGGCCACCCTATAAATACAGCCAGGTGTCCATGATATATCAGCAAGACTGATTAAAACCTTTTTCGTGTTGATCAAAGTGTCAGAGAGCATGTAGCTGCTTTCTACCCATAAAACTTGAAGCCATAAAACTGCTCCCACCACGTGAGGATGATCAGTTATAGAGGGGACATTGTGCGCATGAATACTCACAAGATGAATGAGGTAGCATGAGGGAGTAGAGCTTGCAATATGATGACAGACACTGACTTCAGTAGGAGGGGATGTGGAGAACATTATAACTACGATTTCCCTTTACCCTACTGCTATTCTTAATCTCCTCAATGAAAATCTTGTTTAAAGGAAAACAGGTGCCATGGGTGGTAGAATATAGAAATCGTGACATGGAGTCTTCCTCACTGTGTTGTGTTGAGCCTGATTCAATTCTGCAATGTCACGGTGGCTCATAAAAGCCTCTTTTGAGTTACATAGAAGGCTTTATGTCACGGCAGGTTACACTTTTCTTGAGTGTTCAGAGATAAAAAGGCAACAACCAGATTTTTTTTCAAGAGTTAAGGCTGTTACGTCCTTCGTGAGAACCACTGTCTACCCACTGTGGGAGCCACAACAAATTTCTCGCTTCTAGTGGACTATGCAATAGCCTTAGTGCAACGTTGACAAAATGTTTGAGAAAAGGCCTTGAGTAAGACTGTCTGGATGAATTAAATCAGTCAAATATGTCCTCAAAATATCAATATGACACTGTGTATATGATTAAATATGACCGTGTTTATCAAATGCTGAAGCTGAAGCTGAATAAAAGTTACCATGTTCAATCTCATACTGTGTATGAAATGTCCAATTCCATAGGATCTGTCCAACCAGCAGGAAAGTTGAAATTAATCCTTCTCTTTGAGACAGATCAATACTTATTAACGCACATTACCTTTCGTAACAAATGAACCCGTGGCAGCAAGTAGCATACACACAGTTAACGGTATCCTGTTCTTAAAGTTGTGTTACTTTTTGCACAGTTTCTTCCAGGTCCTTAAATCGAGGGCATTTTTCATTCTTTAAGAGTATCCCTCAGATATTTATAAAAGAAACAACATCTACTTGGCCTTTTAGACTTTCAGAAGTCTGGTTGGTATTTAGGGTTCGCTCAAATTTTTAAATGAACAATATGCTGAATGATTTTTTTTGTTTTTTTTTATTCAATGATGGTGAGACATTTATATCTATTTGTATAGTGGTTCCTTCAACACTGGACAGCAGCCATATCACCACTTTAGAAAGTGCTTTAAGGGTAAGAACAACTGTTATTTTTTCCTAATGAAATTCTCTCATGAACACAAAGGTCTTTAATGTAATTTCGACATCCAATACAGACACAATTTTGTTCCTCTTCTGTACGAAACAGAAGAGCGTCTTTTGTGATGAATACAATTGTTTGTATCTTGTATAATTACTGTGTGCCACTAACTATCAGTCATTCACACAGTTCTAATTTCCTCACAGTTTGATGAGAGGATAATCATTAGTAACAGTTAGTAACACTTGGAGTAGACGTCAAGTGATGAATTATGTGAGACTCCAAAAAGACATTTGGTACAAATAATTATCGCAGTGCATTTTTTAAAAACAAAAGCTGCCTTTAAGGGAAATGCATACACTTTGAAGAGTTTGACATTACTATTATTTTATCATTAATAAGTTGCCACCATTTCCACAGATGAAGTTGCAGTCATACCTACGACTACATGGCTTGTTAAAATATAATGATCACTCTTCTTTTTGCTCTATTTGCTTTTCGTTTAGCTCCTGAGAGACACCTTCAGGTGCTCAATTATCCATTTTGTTTACCAACTAGTGACTCACACTGTCTTCTAATTGGTTCTAGGCAGATGGCATAAAATGAGTTCATCAAAGCTTTTTCCCATAAAACAGCAGTCTGGGGGCAAATGACTCCAAGTGAATTTGTTGGCCAAAAAATAGCTCTACAAAGTGCAGCAATAGTTCAAAATGTCAATGGGTTATTCACATCTGGTGCCTTTCATTTCACTCTGAGACAACAACTGACATTTAAAGTAAAGAGCCTTAAACAAATTCATGCTCTGATCATACCATGTTTTAAGTTAACTGTTCAATTAAACAGTATTTTCTAGAAATAAAAGTTTTCTTCTATCATATAAATTGTCAAAATTGAGTATTTAGAGCAGAGGTATCCTGTTAAGCAAATCCTTTTATCGTTCGATTTTCAACTGTGTGCTTATTATTCTCTGAGTTTTGAGTTTGCTCTCTGGAGCTTCCTCCTACTGATGAGTGTCCCACTTCTCCACGTTTCACCTCCACAAGCAACAGCGAAAACACCATCAAACACAGAAGCGTGGCATGAAATGCGTGTGCTGATGCTGAGCGTGTGTGCATGTGCATGTATGAGCTGCCGGAGGAGGTGAGCAGCCACAACATGGCACAACATGAGAAGATATTTTTTAAAAAGCCAGGTAATCAGCACGGCAGACTTTACCTGACGCATCAAAACTGAAAGACATGCTAAGTGGCCGAATTACTGCAAAGAGAAACAGTCACGGCATGGGAAAGTTACTGCATGTGAGAGGTAGCAGGTTAACGCAAGACTTCATACATACAAGAGAAAAGCAGTCTGCTTGTACTTAGCAAAATAATGCTGGGAAATAACATATGGTCTTATTTCACATAACAAAAAACTATTTCATGAAGGGAAATTTAAAAAAAAATCAGTCAGCCAGGATAGATTCAATTCAAACTTGGCATTATTCTTATCAAACAACACATTGAGCAAGGCATTAGAAGCAAAAAAAACAACAAAAAAGAAAAGTTTGGTGGCATCAGCTACAACAGCAAAGAGCAGAGGCACAAATGATAATGTAGCAACGTGTAAAAGGAAGAAAAAACGCTCAAAACAAACAAGCTGCAGCATCATTTTTCAGTATTTGTAGCCGAGTGAAGCACGACTGTGTGTTTGAGTGACTGGGGCACATTTTGAAAAATAAAAGAGTAGGTTGTCCATACCCAGTCGTCCCTTGCGAACCATATCGGGGGACACGGGGCGGAGCTTCCTCTCTGCCTTTATCTCCTCCAGGATCCGCTCATGTAGCGTGGGAGGCGGCTGAGTCTGAGGCTTAAGCTTCCGAGCTGATACCTAGCACAGGTTGATGATGGATGGTGGTGAACAGAGGGGAATGCAAAAAAAAGAATCCAAATGACATGAACAGCCTGTAACCAGCAGACCTGTGAGTGATTGTCCACTTGATGTCTAAAAAATGACTACTATGGCAAAACAGTGCCTGCTAATTCTTATAACGGATTTCTAACAGCAGAGAAGAGATGAATGTTTTGCTTAAACACTAACGTTACAGAAGTTGGTTTTAAATGCATTTATATACCTCTTTGAGGCCACAAACAGCATGCTGACGACATGTTTTAGTTTGAAGGTGACAATATTTTAACTCACAGGATTAAGAGGTGGTCTGGACCTGATGAACTCCAGGATCACTTCATGAGCACTTTTCTTTAACCTTGGTGGGATGTCTCCATTCACCTGATGACAGAACAAAACAGGAAAATGCACACTGAAGAGAGCAATGGTGATTAATGGCGAGTTTTAAACTAGTCTGGTTTCAAGGTTCACAGGTCAATTGTTTAGAAGTAGCTAAAGAAAATGCTTGATATCCTCAAAACAATCGGGTGCCTTTGGTCAGCTGATTTTAATAATCGCTTTTGAGTGTGCAAAGTTCAGAAGTCAGAGGAAAAAACCCATTTAATAAGTTAACTTACTATATTTATGATAGGATTTTATTTAAAAATATACAGCGTTAAAAGACCAGATGATAAATGTGAGGTAATCACAGCATATTACACTGTATTTTGGTAAAATAAACACCTTGGGAACATTTTTACTGATATGTTTGAGAAGGTTTTATGAGTTAACCTGGATTCATTAATATACAAGCTGATGGTGAGGTGTTATCAAAGTAATCATCATTCTAACTATCCCAACATTTTATATGCAATGCAAGTCATCTTAGATGTCGATATCTAAGTTGATTAAGTGCTTTGGCTTTCTGAGTTGAGAATTCAACTTCAGGAGGAGTTTCTGGATCCATCCCACAGTGAACATTTAAATTTCGAGTTCAAAATTATCTAAATGGCACGTAAAAGTGAATGACAGTCTGATGGACTTTTCAACCAATGACAGCTGGAATAGGCTCTGACCTCCCCTCTCTCCTTGGAAAAAGCGTTAGAGAAAGCGAATGAATGGGGACATTTCTTAATATTCACCATGACTTTGCGCAGCTTGTAGCGCTTGGACCTGATGTCGTCCATGAGCATCTCGTAGGGTGTGAGCTGGTATTCGATGGGCAGAGGGTTGTACTGACGCTCCTGCACCTTCTTCAGCTTAACTCCTTCACGCAGGTCCCTCATCACCTGAACCCAGAACCGTGCCTGGCATCGCAAGCAAACAGCAATATTCAAATCAGACTCTGATGTCAATGTAGAAAATGGTAACATCCTTCCAATGCAGATGTAATCTGTGAACTAACCTCTCTGTGCACACAAAATAAGGAAGATGATTGGCTCTATTTGTCTGAGAAATGTTCCTGAGAAGTTCATTTTTCATTTACTATTTAAAGAGGCAAATGGTTTATAGGCATTACATAAATAATCATTTTATAGACATGTGTGTAAAATTTCCTCAACAAACCAAAAGGAATTTATATGAAAAAGAAGAAGTAATCAGTTTAAATGGGAAGTCTGCGGTTTGGCTCTGTACCCAGTCAGCATTTTGTAGTTCATTCAGGTCTCGTCCAGGCTCCTCTGAAGATGCCGCCTCCATTTTCCTCAGATTCTGTAGAAAAAGAAAAAAGGTTAAACTCCGACTCATATCAAGGCAGACATGTCGTTCCCCTCCATCTGAGGAAGATGGAAGGCAGATTCTTAACAGGATAACAAAAAGTAATGATAATTGTCCTGTAACCTCCTCAAATCAGGGTCAGTCTTCCTTTTTTTCTTTTCACCACGCTTTAATAACAATGATTACATCAGCTATTTTGTTTTTGGTCCATGTATTGATTCTCAATAAGCACTAGCTAGCTTTTGGCCTTTACAGCAATTCCTAAAACCCATGTCTGAATCTGTCCCATATAACTCTTGCCTCGGGTGTTGAAAGTAATCCAGATTAAACCTGTACGTGCTTTTTATTCAGGACAGCTACATTTGAAGTTTAAAGAATCGGCAAGTATTCGTGTGTGAATACAGATACAGGATTTACAGTCGGTAAATATGTGCTTCAGTCCATGAAAATTTTAGTTTGAAATCTTTAATGTTTAACAAGGTTTCACTATTGATTATCAGTTTCAATGTGTTTGCAAGTCTAGCCCTCATTCATTCTTTATTTTAGACTCTGAACTACTTGATTAGGATTAAGACTAGGAACTACAAAAGTTTTTTTTTCATTTACTCATAGAGCATTTCTAATGTTACAAGCATGATTTCCTAGCAATATATTACCACATTCTAAGTTAAGTACCTCAAAGTATATATGCGTCATAAAATATTTGATCATAATTCAGTCAAAAAAAGCAATAAAAAAGATGCATCCTTATTTTATCTAAAGGAAATACAATGACAAGTTCATAAGATACAAATGCATTTGATAATTGATCGTCAATAAGTCAAATCACTCCTGAAAAGGCATATGTTTTAGCAGTTTGCTGATCCAGAGCACTCAGTTTTGTGATAAAACAAGTATAAAGAAAATAGACATCAGAGAAGCACAGTGGTGTGGTGGTTACCACCATTGTCTCACAGCAAGAGGGTTCTGGGTTTGAGTCCCCGGGAGAACCAGGACCTTTCTGAGAGGAGTTTGCATGTTCTCACTGTGTCTGTGTGGGTTCTCTCCGGGTTCTCCGGCTTCTTCCCACACTCCAAAAACCTGCATGTTAGGTTGATTGGACATTCCAAATTGCCCTTAGGAGGGAGTGTGAGTGTGCAAGGTTGTTTGTCCTTGTGTGTCTCTGTGTGGCCCTGCTATGGACTGGCGGACTGTCCAGACCGTACCCTGTACCCTGCCCTGGATGGATTGAGAAGCAATTGCTGCTGCCCATCAGGTTCAAAGAATTTGGGTGTGTTATTCTGAAAAGACTATTCACGAGTCTAAAACATCCATCCATTTTGTATACCGCTTACTCCCAACTGGGTCACAGTTGTATGGAGCCTATCCCAGTTGACAACGGGTGAGAGGCGACCTACACCCCGGACAGGTCGCCAGTCCATTGTAGTGACACACAGAGACAAGCAACCACACACACTAGCATTGACTCCTAGGGGCAATAATAGGTGTCCAGTTGACCCAATAAGCATGTTTTTTTTGGGACGGTGGGAGGAAGCACCCAGACAGAACAACACAGACAAAAAAAATTAAAAATCAAGAGTAATGTTGGAAATAAAATCTGAGCCTGGCAGACAGCATATCTACTAGGAGAGAGGCTATTCTTCCTTTCTCCGGAGGAGACGTGTCTGTGTGTCTCACAAATGTGTGAGCATTCAAAATCAGCAGGCAGACAAATATGTTCCCTCTGGTTAATATTTGTGGGTAAAACCGTTCACGTCACCGCACAGCAAAGGTTGATAAGGCAGTCACAAGGGCCTACCCAGCTGACTTCTTAGTTCATTCCTCAATCCACCGAGACATTTCAATTCTTCATCATCCTATCAGAAACCAGCTGTTCGAATGACTGGTTGCGTAATGTCAGTCAACATCATGCAGATCGCTGCCTCATGAGTCAGTTCATCGACGCTGCGTTTAGTGCCTCAGTGTTCAAAAGGTAACACAGCAGTGCAAGGTGGTTTATTGTAGCTCCTCAAATTAAAACAGCTAATCTAGCAACAGATTAGTTCAATTGCTTTCAACCCCATTATCACATTCACAATGAGCCGCACAACTCCAGATCACATCAAAGCCTTGTATTACAGCTTCACAAGGTTAATTGAGCACTATAATCTGCATGAAATGCATTTTAATGAAATCGTAATAAGTAAGCGTTGTGTGAACCTGTTGTTTGGCTTTTTTAAGGCCACAACTGCTTTGACTGCTTTTCTATGAATGTCTAACCCAACAAAGACCGTTTTTTCTAGAGACACAAAGCGAGTGGTAGTGATGATCTGGAAGCAATAAATTCATTCTAATTATATACAGTACACATGTATATATACATATGACACTAATATAGTTATTTTCATAAATGCATGGTTTAGCAGTCGTGAATTCCCCAGTGTAGAATTACCGCAGTACCCAACTTTTCTCCTTCTAAAGCTTCTGTCTCACTGTGTTATGCAACCATCCAAATCCCCTCTATTCATTCAGATGCATTACACACATTAAAGGGGCAGCAGGAGTAGTGCGTAGCAGGAAGGAACCCTGAGGAGGAACACACACACACATGCAAACACACACAATTCCTCTTGGGAAATGTTCCAACCCACAGCTGAGGTCCAAATTTATCCTGAGGAGAAACAGGGTTCTAAGACTCTTGCTTTTAGTCTTAATATCTGGGTTCAAAATACAGAAATCAAGCAGCCATGTGTAAGAATGAGACATGAATTTGTGCACAGCAGAATTTTTTTTTTAGACTTGAGGGAAATGTCAATGATTTCACAATGTCTCTGCGATGAAAGAGTCACATTATTAACTCATGCTCATGGACCAAGCAATACAACAGCCGAATGGGTGTCAGCTTAAGAAACCCTGACGAATGCTTTGGAGTTTTATACCCAAGCTTTAAGAAAATCCTGGCAAACACACAAACGCGGCACACAAAAATGACAGAAATAACTGGTTGTTTTCATCTCGACCTTAAACTCTACTTCCCTCAGAATGACAGTCAGCCTGTCTGCAGTTCTTGTTATCTATGCCAGAAATGCATGCATGACTATACAGCATCCCAGTGCAACCTGTCAGCCTGCAGGGCATCAGAGCAGAATCTGTCATCCAACATTTTCAGACTGAATGATGGTACAGTCAGAAGCCGTGTCCCACTGAGCCAGAAAAACTGTAACAGTGAACCAGACCAAAAAGTCTCTTCATTTTCATATTACTATTAAGCAAGCTGTATGTACTGAGCTGTTGAAATAAAGAAAAATTGTGAGTACTGAAGATTAAGACTAATGTCTAATACCAATTAAGCTTAATTCATGAACCAGATCTCCAAATTCCTGCACATCTGTTCTCCACTGAAAGAAACTTGAAACTTGATTTTCTGTTAACGTAAACAATTGACATGTCATAATAAATTAATAATGCATAAAAATTAACTTCATATCCTGCCTGTAAAAGTAAGTAAGTAAAAGTAATAGCAAACAATTTAACTGAATTTTTTTCTTCAACAAATTTCAAACAAACATCCGATGACCACCTGTCTTCTTTAACACAGGAAACAGTTGTCTGTCGCACCGACTTTTTCTTCAAGTAAACCTTCATGGAAACATCTTCTACATTCTGTAAACCAACGTACGAGGCGGTTTTATACAATCAGAAAAGATGGTTCACTGGAATATCTCATCATATGTCTGCTGGTTTTGTCACATGAATAATACATAAACCCTGGAGAAAAACAGCAAGAATGTAAATTTAAACTAAAATACAGTGGTTTGATATAGATACCGCATACATGCCCCCTAAACAGAGATGGAATGGTTTTTTAGTTTCCCGATAATACCAACAATGTGGCAGTTAATACTGAGGGTGGTATACATACAGAGTGAAGGTGTTACTGTCTAGTGGGGTGTACGGGACTTGTATGGTCACAGTGTTAAAAAACCGTCAGGTTCTATATGTTATCTATAGAAAAAACAAAGTTCAGAGATCGTCATGTAACCAATTATTGAAGGTTGAGTTATCTTTGTTCAGCATACTAACTCATTGTCAGGGCTGTGAGATCATCTAGCTATCTGCTGACTTGAACTGCGACTTAAACTGTGCTTGGAATATATAGAGAAACTATTTTAATGCTGACTGACAGCTTTTTTTAAAACACTTCCTTAGATATCAGTATCAGTCAGTGGTGGGCCGTCAGTAAAATGTTGTTTTTTTCCTTAATAGTATCGCGAGTTTATGAGGATATTATTGATGTATTTTTATGTATTTATTTATTTCGGG